TCAAGACATTGACTTGAAGGAATCGCTCCTCCTGGATAACAATGTGATGACTATAAGGAGTCACCTGTATTATTAGGCATCATTGTACACTTATTAAAAAAGGCTGAATCTAGGTTTGTGCAGCCATGGCACTCTGGTCCCAATCTGATCCATCAAATGCTTTCAAAAAAAGTTGTCCTTCTTTCAATAGAAACTCTGATCCATCTCCTACATTTATCTGCTCAGTTCTTAACTCCCTGTTTTGGTCCAGCATACCAACACCTACCTATTTTTTTAGCTTTTATTGGGCATGTAGATACAAGCAGAGGAGGTAGAGTACCCAATAATTGTACTCAAGGGTAGCATTTAACATTTTTTTACCAAAGTAAAAGTAAAAAGTAGTCATCCAAGAAATAACTCCAGTAAAGGTAAAAAAGTATTTGGTAGAAAGGCTACTTGAGGACTGAGGAAGTGTTGCATAATAACACCAGGTTTAATGTTTATAACTGATGCTGGCAAACAGACTCTATGTGCAACTTTTAAATGCCCAGACGAATATAAAAGAAAAAATATGTGCAGATAAAATACTTTTATTTTGTTTTTTTAACATAAAATGTATGAAAACCATTCCGTACAATGAGAACTGTATATATGTTAGGACAGGATAACAAATTCCACTTTTCATATATATTGTTTACTGTAGGTTTTACCTGATTTTGGAATAATTCAAATTAGTCAGACGAAAGAGAAGTCAGAGATTTTACTCAAGTAGTATGAGGAGCGATACTTTACAAGAATATCACTCAAGTAAAAGTAAGAAGTAGCACAGTAAACCTACTTCTAAAATAATTTTTTTTCCAAAGTGTTCCTCAAGTAAGTGTATTTTTTTTTTAGCTTTTTTATTGTCATTACACTGTCACAAGTACAGAGCAATGAAATTCACTCTCTGAGTTTAACCCATCCCCTTGGGGAGCAGTGGGCTGCCATTGTGCGGCACCAGGGGAGCAGTGTGGGGTTTCCTGCATTTGCTCAGGGACCCAGATTGGCAGTCTGTGGGAGTGGGGCTTGAACTCAAAACCTCTGAATTCCAAGTGGAATGCCCTAACCACTAGGCTGCCACTCCCACTAAAAACTGAGTAAATGTAAGTAATTAGTACTCACCTCGGCATACAAGTCGTGTTTTAATTTTTTTATGTGATCAGGTCAATCTGAACACCTACAGCAAGAATGACCTCTAGGTTTAGCTTAAGGATAAAACTGTGAATGAACAGCAATATCTTTAGGATAGATTTTTAGGTTAGCAGTTATACTTATATAGATAGCTAAAGGTAAAGAATACAGGAATAAGGATCTGTTGTGGTTCGATATGAGAAAAAATGTATGTGAGTTTTTCCAGATGAGAAAAAAAGGCTTAGGGTTAAGCTTATTCTGCTGACTTATTCCCAAAACAGAAACATGAGTTAGAAAAAAAAGTGCTGCACACAGTGCATCAAATTGGCCAAGACTCAATGTGAAATACCCTGAGGGCTGTAGAGCCAGACAGGTGTGCAGGGCTGTCCACAGAAAACACAGCCGGAGGCTCAAATGTCTAGATTCTGAATGTTTTTGCTTTTATGCAAGGACAAAATAATCATCTGAAGAGCAGATCGAGAACTGCTGCCTAAAACGTGTCAAAGTTCTTGTTTTTATGAGTAAAAAGCTGCCCGCTTGTCTTACAGTGCAAACACATCTTCATCTGTTACATGGTTTAATAATTACTACCTGAATAGATGTGGTTCTTAACTCAGTAGGTGGTCTGCTTAACAGCCTTGGCTTCATGACAAGTTCACGTCCAGCTACCATCACAGATGAGACCCTCTGACACACTGAGACTCTTTTCCACATTCCCCGGATGACTCTGCATGCTCATTCCTCTGAAACAGAACTCTAAGCTGAGACAGGAGGCAAGAAAACACCGAAACTATGCACGCGCAGGAGCACAAGCTGCTATTATAGACTATTAAAGCTGCAGGTATCTGGGCCGCAAGCCAAAATGGCAGGAAAGTGACCGAGTTTCTCCAAAATAACTCTGGCGCTCATATTTAAATGGCTGGTTTCTTGCAGTCAGTGATGTGTAATGCTTTAAGCTTAGTTTTAAGGAAACTAACCAGGGTAGCTTTGAGCGTTATGAATGTTTTTCCAAATATATTATGAAAAAAAATACTAAAACCTACAGCAATCCCCTTTACTATGATGTGAACAAAGCCAAACTCACTCTAACCCTAGCTCAGTATAAGCCACTATGCTTTGTGAAAAAAAATCATTAGTGAATGTAGAAGCAACACTTTTTTGTGATAATGATGTTTAAAAGTTTAAAGCAGGGTTAAAACAATACTCCAAGATTTGGATATATATTATCAGCTGAAATGAAAGCCCAGAGACCCAGAGTCAAATATGGAGGAGCTGCAGAAATTCACTGATCAGGAGGGAAAATATTCTGACACAATAACTGATTTTATGCTTAAAAAAGAAAAGATAAATCTTTTTTGCAGTTTGCCACAATCCATGTACGGTATGCATGAAGGAGGTTCTCCGATAGGACTGAAAAAACATTTTACTCTAAAACACTATGAAGGAAAACTAACACAATCCTTCCCAACAAACGTACTGTTAATTACAGTGAATACAGTGATCACAGCATCATTTGGGTGTATTCTTCTCCTGAGCAGCAATAGAGAAACTACAAGTTAAAGGGAAGATGGATGGAGCTAAATTCAACCTGATCCCAGGAGAAATCCTTTTGAAAGCTGCAAAACAATAGAGACTGGAGCAGAGGTTTAGCTTCCAGCTGCTAAATCACCTAAAACATGCAGCCAGAGCCACGGTGAAATGGTCCAAAGTGAATTCATAGGCTAAAATGGCCGTGTTAAAGTTCAGACCTAAATTCACTTGAAAATGATGAACTCAGGAGTGTTCTCCATCCAGACTAACTGAGCATGGGCTGGCAGACGTACCCCTAAAAAGACTTGTACCTTTAATCCCAGCTCAAAGTTAGAGGATGATCTTTTATTTCTGGGTGAATTATCTAAATAAGTGGTCCTCTAAATTGTCAATCATTCTGGTGATAAGTTTAAGTAGGACCGTCCTACATGCTCATCCAGTTAGCTTATCTTTTTCTGCACATGTGCACTTTCAGGTGTATATCTGACGGTTTCAGACAGTCATTGAAGGTCACCTTTCTCACCACAGTTCTCTGAAAATGGCCAAGGGTCGTAAGAGAAAAAGTGTCTACGAAGTGTATGAGAGGAAAAGAAAGGCCTCAGAAGAGGCAGATGTTTCCCAGAATGCTTTGCTCTCACAGTTGCCCACTGTCGCTACAGGCTACTGCCCCTCAACAGCGGCGACTAATGTCAAAGATGGCGCAAGCACCACACAATGAACCAACGGGGAAGTGATCATCTGTCCGTAGGCCAAGTCGAAGTTCACTATGAAGTCGACATTCGGAGCAATGAGAACAGCAACTTTTAAACAGAGCCTGCACGAGGAGAAATGGGCTTGTGCATGCTCTCGCAAGCGCATTTTTTTAAAGTGGAGAGGGCGCTTCTTTTAAAAAATGCAAGAAAATCTTCTACAATAGCTTCAAGTCAATTGCATGCACTTTTTTTTTATATCCAGAAACCTTAAAAATGTATGAAAAAAATCACAAAATAAGACTATTTGGATGCAGCTTTTGTTTAAAGGAGTTAAATGTTGAGGTTATGTGTGCGTCCTATACGGTGCATCCACAGACACACACATACATGCTCAGACAGCCGCCGTCTGAGTGGCAGGTGATGGGACAGGTGCTTCTCCAGACAGTTGTGGGGGGAAGGAGGAAGTGGGAGGGGGATCATACTTTGCATCTGAGTGTTATGTGAGCAGACATGCATGAAGAAATCAGATCTAAGCGACGGCCTATAGGTGAAAAAAAATCATTCCCAGCTAACTGATTCTTTTTTTCTTTTTGGGGCCTGGTTCTGACTTCTTCATCTCATCTGGCAGTGATCATTCCAGGAAAAAAAGGTTAACAAGGCGTCAGGGATCATGCAGAGGATTTCCTGCCTGTAATAAACGGCAGTTGAACAGTTCAAGGTCCTGATTTGAATTTGGTCCTGGTACACATTTACCAGACATGCAGATTCAGGCCTGGACTAAGGTGGTGAATCAGACCAGTAAAAACCGCAGCTACCTTATTGTAAAGCGGTAATATTTACAGACAAACTATCTACACACAGGGCAGCAGACACCTCACATGACAGAGCACTTAGTCATCAGGTGGGCAGACAGAAACACAGCCTCACCTCAGCTCACCTTCTCTCCCACAGGATTGGCAGTTTCAAATGATGCACATGACAACAAAAACTAAATATAAGCAAAGTTATGATCTGATGAATGTATTCATGCCTTTCAAAACACTTTTTAGGACTAGAATAATCTGTTTGGTGCCACAGAAGCATCAGAAGTTTGCCTCTTACCCTTAAAAATTCAAGAAAGGAGAGCCAAGCGCCAACTTTTAGCCACATAGAGTTCCTAACAACCCTTCATCTAACATATTCCAGACATGCACTTACCTGCCTCGCTCTGCAGCAACCCACTGCTACTCTGTAACATCACATTTAAAGGCTCACTGCCTAAGGAGCTGCTGGAGATATTATCGATGCAAGAAGCAGCTTCTTCAAAGGGAATAAATTAATAGAGAAGCTAATAATCTCTCAGGTACCAAACATGCATCTGCTTAAGCTGGATAGTTGGATCTCTGGAGCCTTTATCTTGGGCTTTATTTACAAATACAAATCAGAAATGAATTAATTTGCAGGTCATTTACTGAGCTGCAAAGCTTTCTTTTTAAAGAATGCACAACATAAAAAGTACAGCCTGCTCACTCCTTCCTATACAGCCCAGCTCACCTTTCACTCCCTGCTACAAAGTGCTCAGATGACATGTTTTGGAAAGATGCAGATTTATTAGCTCAGATTGTTCATTTAGGGTAACTGGTACCATACCTCGCTGGCGTTCGCAGCCTAGAGTTTGTGCTGGACGATGGCCAGCAGCAGTGTGTGAATCCAGGCCATCCCAGGGTCAGCCTGAGCAAGTCTGCAATCCATCGCTGCCTTGAGTTCCTCTCGGCTTCCCTCCTCCCCTTTCTGCACTTGGCTTTCTTTTTGGATCACAGCAGACTTTTTGAAACTGTGTCTCTCTTCTTGATTTCTCTTCTGTTTGTTCCTCTTACTCCTGTTTTTCCTCAGAAAATCAAAAACAGGTTAAAAACAACTCCCACTTGCTGCTCTCATAGCTACTTATAATGCAGATCCACTCTCTGAGCTTCTCTGCTTCTTCACCCTCCCACCCTCCTCTCTCTCTCCCTCTCTTTCTCTCTGCTACTGTTGGAGAGGAGCGCTCCTTCTTTCTCTTATTCTCCTCCCTTTTTGCTGCCCTTCCTCTAATAGTTATTTAGTGTCTCATTTCAGCACCTGCCCTGACACAGAAAGAGGAGAAAGGGAGAGGGACAAACGGACTTGGTAACAATAATGTTTATCTGATAGGAAAGTGTGCCCACGGTGTGTTGTGGAAGCTTATTTACTCTTTAAATTTGTCAACTTTTTTACCGTTACCATCAAGAACTGATATTGTTTTACGCAAATTGCATTTTTGTTTTGATGTATCAGATTAAAGAAGAGAAGATATCCATGCCACACTTTTCAGATTTCACAATTCATTAACAAGTGTGGATAAATATGGAAATGGAAGAAGTCTCATTATCTAAGAGTTGTTTTGTTTTCATCCTTCCATCTTTGTTTCCTTCTTATTTGTCCCATTCCCTCCTTTTTTTTCTTTCATAAGCTGCTTTATTGTCTCCCTCTTTCAATCTTACATTCTATCCTTATTTCCTTGTGATCTTACACCTTTCCTTGTCTTTACTTCCCATCTTTCCTTGCATAATCATTTCCTTCTCGGTGCCTCTCTTTCTGCACTTCCTCACATCCTTTTTCTTTCTTGTATCCTTTCTTCTTCCTTTACCCGACCCTTTCCTTTCCCTTTATTCTCTCCTTTTGTCATAATCTGCATCTCACTCTCCTTGTTTTCTCTATTTATTTCTTTGTCTTTTAAAGCCTGAAACCCCACTATTCATGATGAATATTTTTATATAATTAAAACAGAAAACTAAATTTTAGTCTGGATAATTTGGGAAATGAAACAAAATGTTCTTTAAATAATCATTTAGTATCACTGAGATTTGTGTTTTTAAAAACACATTAAAATATTTTTTTTCCTCTTTATTGTTATGTGCTGCTTTGTTTTTCTCCATCCCATACAATCCAAATAATAAATATGAAACACATTTTCTCTGTATTTAGCTCCATCCATTTTACCACAAACTCCTTTCCTGCCGTAGTAAAGAATCCCCACAGCCTGCTATGATTCATGATGGTATGGAGAGTTTAGCTTCCGTCACATTTCTTTTTGCATGTTGCAATATTAAATTTTATCTCTTGGGCTTGATTCAATTAAATGCTATTGGAGTATTGTTTCTAAAAATGAAAAAAAAAAAAAAATGCAGACACATGGCAGAATTTTCTTTTATTCAGTGACAGCTCTACCATGTGTTCTGTCACATAAAATCTTAACACATTTCATTAAGGTTGCCAGGCTTATACACACAATGAGCCTTATTTGGAGTGATTTGATAACACTACATGCTTTATAGAAGCAAACCTTTGCATAAAAAATATTTGCATGTCTGTGGATTTGTTCAAACAGCCCAATAGTTAACAGAACCTCCTACTGCATCCAATACAGGTAGTTTCTTCCACATATCAGGCTTGTGAGGTGGTGACAGATTGGAGCTGCTAAGGGTTGCTTCAGCTCTCGTCTATTTTAGTGCTCTCTGCTCTGTCAACTGTGTTCACTTATTAAAGATAGTAGGGGGAGTGAAGGGGGCGGGGGGTTAACTCAGGTCAGCAGTTTCCTCTGCAGCGTTGGATGCCCTATTTGTTTTGTTTCTTTGCAGGAGCACAAAAGAAAGTTATAAAACACAGAAAATACTAAAGCAATCGGCAATCTAGGTTTATTCGATAAAAGTAAAAGCTAATTTAATTTTAGTTCCTACATTGTGTTTCAAAGCAAAGGAAAGGAGCTTTTGTGTGGATAAAGATTTATATGCTGTGTTTGCTATTCTTCATTTTTACCTTCAGGCTGATTTTCAGCTCTCCCTCAGCAGCTCCTGCATGCAAGCGCTTCCTCAACGATCCAGCCAGTGTCCACAGTGCATACCTGTGCTCACCAACATGTACTAACTCACTCTTCCTGCAGGCCATGGCAGAGGAACGCGCAGCAGTCACAACAATTCAAAGATTGAACGTGGCAAAGAGGGAGGACGGGCTGAGAGGAGGAGGGTATTAAAACAGAAAGGATGGTAGAAATTACAGAAGAGGGCAGGGAAGTGGGTGAAAGAAAGGTGAGGTGGAGAAGATGAGATCAAAGAAAAGTCAGAAGTTGCCAAAGGGCTGCAGCCACTTGTAGATAGTGTGAGAGGAAGAGAGAAATCATTAACAAACGCCTGTCTGTTTCTGGCTCCTAATAAATCAGAATCTTCTGCAATCGTCCTTGAAGAGCAGAGAAAGTTACAGCATGGAGAGAAGAAAAAAATGGAGATGGTCGATGGTTTAAAGATGATCAATGTGAACATTCATCCCTGCGGCATCATATTTTTACATGAAGATCACACTGAGCAGCATAATGCATTCAACAAAGATTTATTTCAGTCTAAAATGCAAAAACAGAACTCACAAATGAAATACTTCCTCATTCAAAGTGTGTTTTGTTCTTGTTCTGTTTACAGTACTGTACATTAATATTCAAAAATACTCCATACAAACATTGTGCAGAGCATAAAGGTTGAAAAATCCGACATGCTGATAGCTGATGAGAGAAAACAAAACAACATACAATCAGTCTGTTAAAAATTGACAAGGAATCTAATGAAAACCTTGTGTTTTCTCTGCAGTCTTACAGTATTAGCCAGCAATAAACAGAGGGCAAACTTTGAACCCAAGGCAGCGATGATAGCAAACAGCTCTGATATAAAGATTAAAGTTGGTTTTCAAGCAATGGGAAACCCGACTGAGACCATGAAGTCAGTAGTTTACTGCCTTTCATGTCAGTGGGGGCGTTTTCAAGTGTGAGAAAAATTGGGGTTATCTCTGCTTGAGGTTAAAGACTACAAATGATTAACCGAGAGCTGATGGTTCACAGTGAGGTGGAGTCAGGTTTTCACCTGAAGGATTCTTCAGACAAAACTCCTCCCACTATGTATCGTCTTGAAAAAATGTTTTTGTTTGACTCAAAGTGCAGCTCATGTAATTAACTGAAATAAAGCAGACCTTGTAGTCATAATGATGGAACATTTTATAATTTGTCATGATAGACCACAAATACATCTTGTGGCTATTTTATGTTATACACCTCCAAACTGGAAAGGAAGCTTTCCAAACAAAGTTATTCAGCCCCTTTACTCAGATACCTATAAATAAAATCTAGTTGTAGAGGGTATGGCTATACCAGCTTTCCCCATCTAAATACCTTCTTTTGCTTCTTCTTCTTCTTTACAAATATGTGTTAGGTGCAGAACATATACATACGTTTGTTTTAGCACTGAATCCTGAATTAGATTAAAAGTTTTTTTTTGACTGGAACTTTTTAAGATGGGGATATAATGCATCTAAACTATGGTGGAACATGGTCACATTAGGATGAGAGCTTTTTGAGACGCTGCATTTCTTAACATGTGTTAAAAAGGTATTTTGATGCTAGATATGGAAATATCACTTTGCCCCCTGGATTGTCTATTTGGAATAAAGACTTAAGACTCTACATCAAAGAATGTGGACTATATCATATCACTGGGCTTTTTAGCAGCAAAACGTATAATCTTGCTGAACTAGAGTGAGAGGAACTATAAATGCTTTGATGTACAGCATTGGAACAAAGACTTTTTGGAATCGGTTGCTATGGAACAGGTAGCCATAATCCTAGATAATCAACCAGATTCCAGATTGTCTGGACCTTGGCCCACACTGAAAATATATATTATATTTAGAATTAAACAAAAAATAATAAAAAGGTATTTTAAGTCTGATAATCGGAATCTAATGAGAGTGGTAAAATAAGTGCAATTTTAGTGGATAAAAGCCACTGCACTTGATCTAGACCAGCTGCATTGGCTTGAGTCATCAGAAGGTTAACACAATTTTGTATCTGAATTTCTGCAAGAGATATTTAGCATTTCAAATTTCCATCCATCCATTTTCTGCTACTTAGTCCTTGTGAGGGTCGCGGTGGGGCCGATGCCTTTCTCTGACAGTCTATGGGCGAGAGGCGGGGTACACCTTGGGCGGGTCCCAAGTCTATTGCAGGGCCACACCAGATCTTTGTAGCCAAGGATGATAGTATAAGGTTTTACAGGTTTTCCTCATATTAACTTTTATGTTCCTGTTGAGGAAAACAGCAGGGACACGGTGCTACCACTAATAAATAAACATTTATTTAGTAAAAAATGTTTCTGTCATTGTTTTTGTTCAAGCTAAATCTGAACCAGGCTAGCTAACCTTAATAGCCATAAATTTGATGATAAAGGATATGCAGCATGGGGCTGGAGAGATCATAGTGGATCTTTTGTGTTTATAATGTGCATTAGAAATGCAGTGATGAGATACTTGGATTCTCTGATACTGACTATTTAGCTGCATCAGATAAAAGATGCTGATCCAGCATTTCGATTTAGCCATTTGTAATTTCATTTATATCGTACACAGCAATACAAGTAAAGCAATCCTGGGACTTAAATTTTAGAATATTCCTTTTTTTTTTTTTTGCACTGAGCACAAGCATGTTGATGTTTTACTCCTGGGTTTCAGTTTTTTTATGACATTAAAAGCTTGCTTTTCCAGAGTGCTTTATTGCTGGACTTTATTGTAACTTTGGTGTTAAAAATTACTTCTACTATCATGCATGGATTTGCATGATAGCCACAACTCACTCTTCCCCTTTGTGTGGCGGCTATCCCACTCTAAGCTTATTACTGCCACCTAAAGAGCTGGAGTGAGAAATTTATATTTAATTTTACCAATATTGAGTCCTCATGCGATTTGAAAATCTTTTTTTTTTATTGCAGTTATATTGCAAATAAAATGTATTGTGCAGCCTTAGAGCACACATCAGCTAGTGATGAGTTATATCGGTGTTCATTTGTTACATTTTCTCTAACAACAGTAGTATCAGATCGGTATGGGATATTGGGCAGTACGCTCAGCCCATGTATTGGATTGGATTGGAAAAAAATCGG